AGTGAGAGCGACCACTATTTGAGATACAACGTATCTTTAAAATGGGGACATGTGAGACGCATTCAGAACATCCTGACAAATGAAACCAGGCCAGCGGGTCGGAGTGAAGCTGTCTCCCGGCACATGTCCCGGGCTCAATACGTCGGCAGTCTGGTACCTGATATAATTAAAAAGGAATATTTGCTTTGGCCAAAACACACACTACAATTTGTCAACAGCATATTAATAAAGGCAGCACGTGATCGCGGTATAGACAAATAGAATATTGATAAATCAGGTTAAGATTATTTAATAGGCATTTAAGTATCTATATCTAAGCGGACTAATAAAGGAAACGGAGCAGTTCACTCACCGGTTAATCTTCGGGACTAAACAGTAGAAAACTCGTGTCTGACTTGCTTTGAGAATTAGATGCAGTTTCCTCCGTTGGGCTACAGCGCTCTCAAGCGACGCTTGTGTTTTCTCCGGCTGGTGTTGCATCAGCTTGGCATTCGGGCTATATATCAGCGGCCATCTGGTTTCACTGGAAGCCGGCTTTCTTCGGATTGGTGGAGAGTCGGAGGTGCGGTCCTCCCTCACAGACCACGCCCACTGAGTCACCGACACCCAGCGCCTTGTTGCGCACGTCCTCAGCCTGGCTGCTGGTCCTATTCCTGCGTCCGTTCACCACTGCCGCTCAAACCTGAGGCTACGTTTTTAGGCGTGATGTGATATGCTTACATCTGTTCTACTTTTTTTTTTTTCCTGTTTATTTGTAAATTATGTGTATGTACGTGCAGAGCAACGAAAAACCGGAGTCAAATTCCTTGTATGCGTACATGGCCAATAAAGCTGATTCTGATAGGCTACTGGGTATTAATCAGTGATGGAGCCTTTGATGATATAAAAGAATTACCCTTAGGCCATATTTTACATTGTATTGTATTGTATTGTATAATATGCTGATTCAGCTGCCTAATGGGCTACTTGTTCTATTGAATATTTAAATAGCCTGCTTTGTCAGACAAACAGTCTTAACCCCAAATATATACCACTGCTACAGCTATTATACGACGACTACAACTATGGTGGAATGAGTACATTAACTCAAGTGCAGATACTTTATTTCCATCTTATGCAACGTTATTCTTCTTATCCAATCTCAAAGGTAAATATTGTACTTTTTACTTCACTACATTTGTCTGACAGCTTTGTTTACTTTTCAGATTACAAATTTCTCCACCCTTCCTGAACAAAGTATCTCCAAATTTGGTGATTTTTAATCGTTCTGATAAACTGAAGTATTAAATGTTCCTTTATGGGTTATTGAAATGCTCCTACTTAATTATTACTCTCTTGAAATAGCTGTAAAATGCATCGTCACAAACCTGAAAACATGGCTGCTTTTGTACTCACAGGACAGCGACACTAACATATGATGTTAGAGAATATGATGCACTGCTGTAGATTGAACTATACCGACAATATATAAAGGAGTTACAATTTTAAACAACTACAGCAGTTAAATGCAACATACACATTAATGCAGCGGTAAAATTAATCCAAACATAAAATATAATAGAAGACAACACTGTCAGGGACCATTGAGTACTTTTACTTTTGACACGTTTAGTACATTTAGCTGATGATACTTACATACTTTCACCTGAATGAGATTCTGAATGCTTGTAGTGGAGTATTTTGACAGTGTGGAATTGCTACTTTTACTTAAGTAAAGGATCCTAGTACTTCTTTCACCACTGAAAGTCGAGGATAAACAAGGATGACCTGACATGTCTATCCTGAAGATATAAAAGGCCTGTACAAATACTGACACACAAGTCAAAACGTAGCAGGACAACACATGAAGCAAAACAAGGGGAAAAAACGGATGCATCCTTGGGATAAAACAAAGATTAGCAAACTAAATTGTTTGTAAATGCACACCAAATGATTGTGGCTGCACTGCAGGGTTTGTAACATTACAGGAAAAAAAGGGAGTGCTTCCTTGATTTGAATGAAACTAAATTAATTTATGTGTATCAAGGGAAAGGTATGACGTGTGGACACAGTCTGTTTGAATTTGAGGGTTGTTTGCGGTAGATAGAGGAGGGCTGAAGAGGTTGACGATGCCTCTGATTGGAGCAAGCAATGGGTAGGACTAAGATCTGCGCTGGCATGTGAGTGGTGGAAGTGGTGCACACCCCCGCACCTGTCATCACCCAGATGAAAACAAGTTAATCTGGAAACTGACATACTTTTACTGAGAAACAAAAACAGGCTATCTAAAAATCCCAGACATATCTTGACATATTAAGTCCTCCACTCTTCATTCCCATGACAACTGAGAGGAAACTGATGCCTGATGACTGTGACTGTGAGCGTCTAACCCCAGTTGAGAACATCTGGGCAGCAAAAGACAAACAACGATTACCACTGGACCTGTAAAGGGAGGGCAGACACAGTCCTTCATTGTTCAAAGAGGCTGTCAAGACTTCCAGCCATGAATTCAGAGTCGTGACTGACCCAAGGCCACAATGGAAAGAAGTGGTGCACTGCACAGTAAACACCGGCTGCCATCCGATGCCTCCATGAAGCACCTGATCCCTGGCTATTTATTCCCCCAGTCACCCTATCAGATGATCATTTCGTCACATCGCTGGCAACAGATTTAGCGAGGTGTGTGTCTCGCTCTTTACTAATTCTTCGACATAACGGGACGGTATGGGAAATTTGAATCCTGTCCCTGGCTAGTAGACAATATTTTATGTAAACCTATGAGTGTTATGTCTATTTTTTGTGCGCAAACTATGCTTAAAATAGTAGTGTGAAAGTGGGAAAGAAAATAAACAGGAATGATTTAAGAGCCACTGGATTATTAACAGTCGTATTAACATGATATCAATATTTCACTTTTTGGAATATCTGTAAATTCCCCTTGCAGGAATTCTTTTTTTGGCAGCTTGTGCGCAGACGAACATTGACATATTATCACCTTATAGAGTTTCTTGTGATGAATGTTTGAGCACATCTGATTTATCAGCTGCTAAACGCTCTACTGCGTTCACCAGCTCGTTGCTAGCTTTGACTGACTGCTGCTTTTAGAGGTCTTTCACCAGAACAGCTGCATGTTGTGACGACAAAATGTGTTGCTGAGAGCAATGACACTGATTCAAAGTAATTTTGAGTATTATAAAACGAATACATCGGCAAAGTTAATCAAATAATGTAAGACTGAAACAAATAGTAAGGGCTGTGAGAACAGAAGAATCATTAAATAATTACAAAATCAAACATCTTTTGTGCTGTAGTCTTTAATAATGGCTTGAAACTTTAAAAAAAACCATTTAATCTTTTGAACAATAATATCATTTTACAGAAACATTGATAAAAGTAATTAAAAGTACATTTTGCGTTATGATTTTGCAGTATGGCATTGCACAAACACCGTAGAGCAACAATCATTTATAAGGGATAACATTAAGCATAATGCAAGCACAGCAAATTTGCACAATTGTAAATCTAACCTTCCCCTTGATACAATGCATTGTTCCATTCATGCACACACACACACACACACACACACACACACACACACACACACACACACACACACACACACACACACACACACAAAGCAACGGTAGGTACGGTGTAGTAGTTTTTTTTTGGCAAAAGGAAAACATGTATATCGTGCAGCTATAAACAACTTTCCCTTTATAAAGCATTTTAATGTAGTGGCTGGAATCAGTTCAGTATAGTGATCATCAAATCATTATTGAAGCAAAAACAGATTAAATGTATCACGATGACAGACACAAGTAAACAAAATGCAATTTCTTGCTGGCAAAACAAACTAAACTGGCCAAGGATGACCACTGTGGATTTAATTTAACCCCCAAAACTGCCATTTATGTTGTATTTAAAGTGCAGCATACAGCTTTCTTAATAGTATTATGCAAATGGCAGCTACCTTCGCCCATTGACAGCATTGAAAGATGATCTTCACGTCACTATGCCCACAGACTTTAAGTTGATCTGCTTCTGAGTGCAAATAAACGACAGTGTTTTAATGTGACTGTCCTGGTCATGGACTACACAGTACGAAGAAAAGAATCACTTCGGATGCAAGACATCGACACTGAAGTGAAATACTGTTCGTGTCATTTGTAGTCTAATAGCTTGAGTTTGTTGATATATGTCGACATGTTTGAACGTTTTAATATTAAGTCATATTGTCTAATATGGCGACAGCTGGTAAATACTGACAACAAAACGTATGCTTGAAGAATTCTAATCGTACTTTCTGATGTTGTACATGCCTTTCACACAAAGTGCATCAGTTCTGGATCTTAAACTAGAAAACAGCAGATATGCATTTCATTTAATAATGTGCTTGAACACAACTATTATAGAACTCTAATTACCAAAATATAAATTGGTCTTGAAAGCAATATCTCACATAAATACAATGTTTTTACTTCATAAGCAGACAAACCTCCACGTGATCATCAATCATATGACCAACATGGCCAGTGTTACATATGTGACTACATTTTTTTATGACGCTTAATAAGATTGGAAAAACATAAGCAGGTGAGCTAACATTTTTACAAGTGTGTGTGTGGAGTACCTCCAGCCATGGAATGTCAAGTAATGATCAGATAAACATACAAGATATCGTGTTCAGATCCCTCTCAAACAAAGCCTCCCCTCCCCCCCATCGTACAGCACTACCTACGCTTATTACATCATCTCACACGCTGCCTTATATCACCATATATGTTGCCATAGTTACTCTTCAGCGGCCTATACATTCAGCAGGATGAATCGGATCAATGCCCAAAAAATACGGCGGGATTGAGAAATCGGAGAAGGTCCCTGAATGTCAGTGAGTGTGAGACGTGCGGCGGAAGGGGGGGGGGGGTAAACAAGATGTTTACATTTGTTTTTATGAATCAGGGCCCTCTGTCAGCCCATTCAGTCATATAAACCGTGTGAACGATATCTGCATGAACGAGCGGTTGATTTTGAAGGTAATATGGGTTTAGTGCCTTGTCATTTCATTTTCTTTTTTTTTTTTTCTGTGAGGGAAACCAAAATATTTCATCATCAATCATATACAAAAAAAAACTAAATTAAAACAGTTTGAATTATACATTCTCACGTATCTGAGAAGAACATAACCAAAGCCAAAAAAACTGGGACATTGATCCCGTTAATGTACTTTGTTATATTTTCACATTGTTTACCTCTTTCATCCATCTGGCTTCCTTTCACAGCTCTCAATCTCTCTCTCTCCCTCTCTCTCCCTCTCTCTCTCCCTCTCTCCCTCTCTATGGCGTCTGCAGCAGAGGATCTTCAGTTTCCAGATGGGCCAGCTGCCTGCGCAGGCTGTTCACTTTGTTTTGAAGCTCCTTGTTGTATTCAATTATATGTACCATTTCCTCGTAGGCCTCGTCCAAACACTTGGAGGAGCGGTTCCAACGGAGGAACACTCCTGTAATAGAAGAGAGAGTAGAGCACTGTGAGTACTATAGAAAGAACAAAACCTACGACAAGGACGCGGTTTATCTTTTTCCTTTCATGCTCAAACAAATACGAGTCTACAGACGACCACCCTGCTGTGATCACAATGCTAACAAGCGGATTTTTGCAGGTAGAACATCTACCAGGTTCACCATCATAGCTTAGCATGTTGGCACTGAGAATGATAAACACACATAAACTGAGTGCAATCCTTCCTTTCCTTCACTGGTCTCTATGGTAGGTGGGGTAATGTGGTAGAGGAACCTGTGGTAGTGAAATTCTGGAAACACAAGTGTGACGACACAGATCTGCTCTGTTACTGGAATGATCAACACAGCGGAGAAGTCAAATGAGTAAAAATGAGAGCGAGTGTGTCAACGACCTGAGCTTTCTCAAATCTAAGCCATGTGACAATACAGTAAAGCAACCATTTAGTCACTTCTCTCACTCATTGGTGGGGACTCAATTATTTTGTCATGATGTTATGAATCTATATTTAGAAAGATATTCGTTGTTTTTGCGGGAAAGTTATTTGAAATTAATGTTGGAATTAATAAATCTATAAATAAATAATATGAAATGGTGGACTGCGGTGGTTGCTTAGTTTTTGATTCGAGGGGATAATGTTTGAGTTCATGAAACAGATATACGGACAGGATTTAAGCATTTTTGTTTCTGGATTATGAGGTAATTATGAGACAATAGACGACTGATTCCCGCGACTAAGCGCATTGGAGCCCTGCTCAACATGGACGCACTGCTCGGCATTTTTTAGTAAAAAACTAAAACTTCAATCCAAATCCAAACAAACCGCGCAGCAATTTTTACGTTTGAAGCACAGCAAAGTGTAACTGTTGTTCTATAGAGCTGTGCTGCACACCACCAGTCCCCGTCGGTGTTAACACGAGGAGCTACAGGGGTCTTCTAAGTTGGCCCAGGGAGCGTTCTCTATGAAAGTGTCGCATAAGCAGGATGTCAGTTGCATTTCACGTGCTTCAGTAGTTCATATAGAATGAGGGAGTGGCTCTGAGGCTTTAGACAGGAAGGGGGCCCCTCAAACAGGTCCGCCTGAACCCAATGACCCCCTCCCCCTACTTTTCTTTGTGAATGGCGTTTGCTTTGGGCTGTTTGGAGACTCAGCAATTTCACACATAGGCTCCGCCTTTCTTTTCCTTTTTTAAACTGGACCCACAATTATTGAAATCAACTCAGTCCTTCTCATTGAAACAATTTAGAAGTAAAGAATACATTTTGTGAAATGTTGGAAAATGTATTTTAATACTTAGGGTGGCATCTTATTAATTTCATTTGATACTTGATTTCTGATGACTATAAATCACCAGAAAACCATCTGAAATTGTCGAAAAGACGCAAGCCGGATACAACCTCGGTCTCCCTTTGTTACGTGGCAGTTAAGTTTCATCAAGGGCACATTGATGGTTACATAAGATGTAACCATCACTGTATCACTGCTCGTTCATTTTGTTTACGACCATCTGATGCTTTCAAACTGAACATCAAGTTATCAAGTCATTCTAATTGGTATTTTGTGGTGCAATACAAGCCTTAAATGAATAAATGAACTATATGAGATTGCCAGACGAGTAGAAAAGTGTGCCACAGGACTGAGCACATGACTGCTAACGAGTAGCGAACCGTCACCGTGCGCTCGGATGTCACTGCCTGTGCAACCTATATTAAGACAAACGAGCAGGCCAAACACATCCTCCAGATGCCTGAGAAGCCACCTGAGCAATGTCAAAAATGTAGAGGTGCTGAAACCCAAACAGGGGGGGGGGGGCATACGAGCTAAACGGTCACATGCAGAGTTTGACCTCTTCATGTAACATGGTTCATAAATACTGCAATGTGTATGCTGCAGTATTTATAGTGACTCACAGGGGTCACTCAGTTTAATAGCATTGCAAATGGTGAAATCAATGGCGCCCCCTCCTGGTGGGATTACAGAATGCCTGTCAGAGCAGAAACGTAATAAGGGATGAGATGAACAATTTCCTATGACAGCAGTTTTTCCATCCATTGTTCCTCTTTGTGGAATACTGATTCACTTTTTGTCTATGGCCTAACTTGAGAGACAATGCTGCCAAACATAAAAAAAACACAGCTCCCATTCGTTGTTCTGACCCCGGCTTCCCATTCACTATTATTCAACTCTCTCTACAAGCCCACACACGTATGAAACAATTGCTCCAATTTAACATTACTCAACCGTTGGGAGGAAAGTAACCCGATGTGAAGTCATCCACCCTGCATGCGTCATCATGTGGAGTGATTTGGGTGTGTTCACAGCATAACCGAGAACAGCGTATAAACATAACTTAGCCCTTTCAGATGGAAATGTTGTATTTCAGGGAGCTGATAAATAGCCCAGTAGTTCATTCTCTGAAAAATAAGAGGATGTTTAAATAATTGACTAAAACACAAAATTGGTCAATTGTTTCAGGCGTTAGTGAAGGGTTAACTGTTAACTAAGACTAGCTCAGGCCTAGCCCGAGCTTAAACAAACCGCGTGAGTCAAACGCACAATGTCACGGAAGGTAAAACATGCCACGCTGGGAGTGCACAGCATGCAGTCTCACGGGCTTAAACAACAACGTCAGCATTGCTGTCAGTGGTGTAGCCTACTCTCAAATTTACATCAACAAAACTTTAACTGTGTAAACAGCTACTAGTTTCAGCCCTTAACCTCTGTGGGTGTTTTCCCTTCTAGGTCTGCTCATCTATCACATATCTGATATCATGGGATGATTGGGATGAGGATTCTAAATTGTCAGTAAAAAAGATAAATTGAGTTTGCTTTCGTTTCGCGCATTTTTTCAACAAACCCAATGTTGCTTTATGAAACTACATTCAGTGTTGACAAACACTGTTTTGTTTATTGCGGGGCATTACTAATGTATTGGACGGACACTACCTTCTCTCTGAAAAGGTATATCATATATATATATATATATATATAATCTCAGTCACTGCATATGTTTTGTGTTTACCTTCCCACAGCAGCAGACTCTGAGGGGCCACAGAGGGCCAGATCACAAGACTGTTGGCCTCGTAGAGCGGGTTGGTCAGACGCTCCAGTTCTTGGGGCCGGTTAACCCACGACCAAAGGGACACAGTCTTCTCAGGCAGAGACAGTTTGGTTCTACGGAAAGGGGTGAGAGGGTGTTAACCAACGGTTAACCAATAGGAACAGTGGTTGCCTATATAACAATGACACACCCCCTGGATGAACAAATTATTTTTTTTGTATCCTTACATCATTACCACACTAATGGCCTATAATCTGTATAAAGTTTCATAAACACTGCATATATGGTTAAGCTGGTAGAACAAAGACTTCCGACTCACCTCTCAGCTGTATTGTTGCCCAGGAAGGTGCCGAACTGAGACGCATAGGCGTGTTCAAAGACCAGCACTAGGAAGCTCTCGCTGAATTCAAAGGAACATGGAAACTGGCGAAGGATCTGCCACACACAGTCCAAGAAGAGGAGGAAGACCGGAGCCTCTTGGCGAGGCTTGCTGTTGGAGAAGGCCGACATGGCGCAGCGCTGGTGGAATGGGTGACCCGCCTGAGACAGATGGTCAAAGAGGTGAGCGGGGGGCACGAAGAAGAATGCAAAGACCATGTCCATCTCGATATCAAGATGCTTATTGGACCTGATTATACTGCATGGAAAGGTGCATTTAATTTCCAGGCTTTAAAAAGGAAATATGCAATATGATATGATATGATCAAAAAGGTCGGATAACTTTACCTGAAGCCACTCTCGCTCCACCAGGCCCTGGAAGCCTCTGATGGTCCTGCAGGCCGGATCAAGGATGATCTGAGCCAAGGAGGTCACCTGCAGGGTGGAGTCTGTCCCCTCGGTGCCGTGAACGAGCACCGACGCTCCCTCCCTGAGACAAACACACATGATTACACGTTGTCATCGCCACCTGCTACTCTGCTGTGCACAGATTAAATACTCAACACTGGGGTTTTTGAACTTCAGTGTGTTTAGAGCCGATAAACGTACTGGTCCAGGATTAGGATTACAAGCAAATCAATCGTTCCCTGACCTGTCGATACACTGGGCCGCCAGGCAGGCCGTGGTGAGGATCTCCTTGACGTGAGTCTGCCAGTTGGAAGCCTCCAGCTTGCTTAACCAGCGGTCCATGCTGTGGGACTGGTCGTTACACGCCTCTACCAGCTTTATCAGGCTCTCCTGGAGGATGTTGGACCTGGAAATGATTCATATATATAGAGAGTGTAAATATCAGTCATATGAATGCTGAAAAACACATAGTATCAGAGCCTTGTAGAACTCAAAGATTATTACTTTATGGATTCGCTCACCTTTCAATTGCCTTGTGAATCCTCCTCCATTGGGGGTAGTTGGCCTCAGACTCAAACCCTCCACCTCGAGCTTTGGCCTGCTGGGCAACATTGATGGTGCGCGTGTCGATGACGTAGCCACGTTTGCCCGGTCGCAGCGTGGCATTGATCAGCTTCTCGTCTTCCTTACACCGTCGCCCATTGGTCCCTGTCAGAGGCTGCCCTGCTCGCATCATCACCTGAAAGTAGAGGTGATTTGAGGTGATTTTCTGAAATTAAGCATTCCGTACAAATACGACTAAACCATGCCTGTAAAGAGACAGTATATCCAAAAACAATAAGACAGAATCATTTAAACTCTGTTTCCCGGGTGCTCACCATGCCGTTCTTCTTGTGGTAGTAGCTAAGTACTGGAAAACGGCCGCCGTGACGGAAGGTAGCTACTTTCCTCAGTGTGTCGTCGTCAACATCTTTGGGCACTGCCACTAGAGGGGGGTATGAGGAACAGACACTGAAGTCCTTGTTGACTTCACTCAGTCTCCACTCATCTGTCTGATAAAAGAGATGGTGAAGGGGTTAAAAGAAAGGTGTTACACATGTGCAACAGAGGGCTGAGAGAAAGTTAAGTACTTATCCTGTCCATACCATGGACTCCAAATCTTTAAAGGCCTCCTCTGGGAGAAATGAATTCCAGCCGTCTTCTATGACTTCAAACATGGGCCGGTAGAAGAACGGGTACATCAGGGAGAGTAGGTCAAGCGTGGACAGAGCCTAGAGAGGGAAAAAGAAGAAGATGTATTAGTTCAGACTCTCATTTGACATTTGAAATAGGACAATCTTTCAGGTAGTAGACGTGAACATTATGTGCAGTTTTTTTGTTTTGTTTTACCTCAACAGAACTGGCAATGTTAAGACACTCCTCCATGCCAGGAATGTCGAGCTGGATCACCCTCAGGTCTTTACATTTGACTATGATGCTTCCCAGAGACCCCGTAAATCTGAAAGGGAAGTAGAAGAAAGGTAAGCTTAAACAAATTGTCAGAAAAGTTACAGAATGAGCTTGTGTGAAACACTGTGGGATTGCCTTTCCGCGTGGAAATTGCATGTTTTTCTCATGTTGGCTGTCCTTTCTGGCTTTTTTGAGTTTCCCCACACTTAAACACATAGATGTTAACTATTAGGAATACTCTTGCCTGAATTTGGCCAAGGCACAAGCCTCAGAGCTAGAGTTGGGACTGTGCATTCAAGTGCAATCATTAGTTTTTTTAGTAATTTGTTATAGCCAACATTAAATCCTTAATGCCGTTTACAGCTCCCCCAGCCTTCTCAACCACATAACATGTAGAAAACACTGCAGTGACAGATCACAGTCAGACTTTCTGTCCCAGTTTCAGATCCTCTCTCCGCTGTAAAAGTAAAGCGCACTCGAGAAAGATAGAGCAGTGGAATGCTCAGATCTGGTGCATGCGGTCAGAGTTGCATTGAAGGTAGATGTAACCGCAGTCAAACACAACTCTCATGGTGTTACCTCCCTTGTTACTCAAACATATTTCACCAAATCCACATCCTGCTGATCTGCCTGTTTTCACAATGCATTTTTTTAAATAAAGAAGTCACATGATGTAAATACATTGTGCAACATCCCCTTTTCATGTGACGTTAACCTCTTTTTTACATAGCTAAATGTGAGAGTGACGTTCCCTGAAAAACAATGAAGGGAAAAGGTGTAAAATCCTCACATCAGTGAAGGAGAAGCTCATCACCTTTTCTCTATAGAGTCAATGTTTGAGTGAAGCAGCCACAGTTCCTCAGTGTTGTCCTGTCTGGAGGAGAGAATCAGGTGATGCCCAGTCAAACACAGGGTCCCCTCCACAGTGGGCATGAAAGGCCGATGTAGGACAACCCCATCCACCCTGGGGGTCTTTATCAACTCTGCAAACTCCATGACCTGAGCTGAAGACATGACAGCAAAGACATACAGGGGAAATACATTTTATTTAAGCATATGGACAACGCTACTGATGAGCTAACGTTACTACTGCTAAGACATAATAACTCACGTCCGGCTGTGCTGCTTTCAAAGAAATATATCGAGCGAATCGATGTCAATAAACCAATAAACGCTGCAGCAATCTGTCAGCTAACCTGAGCTAAAGTTACATTGATTCAGGAAATGAAGTGGCTAACGTTGGCTAGCTAGCTAACCGTGACAGACCGTATGAATTGTCCGTCAATTTTTATACTTACGTCAAAATGTAAACATCATTCTGTAAATGTACAGAGCAAAATCAACGCTTTTTATTGACGGTAAAATGAGCTGTCGTAGCATTACCTGATTATATTTTCCTTTTATTGTTGGGCGAGACTGGTACGTCCACATAAACAAGTCGACTGGAAACAACTGACCCGAGAAAATTTGCATCAGGACAATTTGTATTGCACATTCCCAAATTCTTCTGTTAAGAAAAAATACTTTTCCAATGATTTAGATTATTATCGTTACAGTGTGTTAATAACGTCAACTCGAGACTCAATGGGCACAACATAAGTAAGAGATGAAATATAAATGTATGTAAAAATGTCTCATTCATCCAGCCAGTATGTCAACTCAAAAATGAAATTACCTTAGAATGTATATGGAATTTATTTTTAAGGTTAATCCATATATCGTCTGTTCTTCCCCTCCTAAATGAATCACATCACAGTATCAAAAAGGGACACTAGGTGGTGACATTGAAGGATTTTTGACTGATCTGCATTGCCCCATAATTCAATAACACCTTGATTTGAGATGCCTGAAAGGTACATTCTGCATGATCACAAGAAATAAATTATGATTATATGTTATGATGTGTGTGTGTGTGTGACACAGTAAGACTAGAGCCTCATTCAGACGTATGTGTGTGTGTGTGTGTGATTATTCTCGCATAATTTGCTTGATTTTAGCCATGATTTAATCTTGAAGGCTACAACTCTCTCTTATATAACTTGGTACTGAGCTCCAAAAGTTTGTTGCTCTCATAGAGGAGGCTGATCTTCCAAACTCAGTAGATCTGTGCTGTATCACACAGTCACTTCTGTTGGTCGTCCTGGTGGTCCTCCCGTTATCTGAGCACAGTGATATGAACTCTTTCAATGGAGCAGGAGACAGATCAGGGGGCTAGTGAATGATGAAGGATCCGAACAGCTAGACGATGTGCTCCATCCACTAGACTCCTCTATTGCCAAGCTAGTAAACTGGACTTTTTGGCATCAAGTATGGATTATTGTGGATTAATAGAAAGCTTTTCACACTCATATAAAAAACGATATAAATGAATTTAAATACAATTTGAGCCTAGATTTGAATATTACAAGGGAGACGGCTTAGCTAACAGCAGCTAGGAGTTTAGGAAAAAGCTGTTGCCTGAGGATTTTCATCTTTAGTTTTTAGGAAAGCCAGGAGGCCTGCCTGCTAAGATCTCAAAAGCACACGCCAACCTTCAATGCGAGACTCCCTAAAGAGGTGAACACTATTGGCGAGAGAAGAAGAGGACGAAGAAGAGCAGATGGGCCTGTTTGTTTCATGCACATCTTTGTCAGGGCAGTGTGGGTTTATGCACGCGTGTGTGATGTATTGTAAATCAGCACAGTATTTGCTTCAGTTGCAGCCTGTCTGGGCTTCACAATAGATGGTTTGCTCTGAGCCTTTCCAGCCATCATCACGCGTGTACAGACGCCAGGGATTAATTGAATGTGAAACCCGGCGTTGCTTTACAAACCAAATAACTGCCCTTCCTCTGAGGAAAAGATGCTTTGCTGTTGTTTTTTTAATTTTTAAAGAAGATAAAAAATAGCTTTCAAAGCAAATATTCAGTTCACAGCTCTACGCAGGATACAAAAGAAACCTCTGTTTTATTTAACAGGATGCTTTGACAAATGCGTTGGTGCACAACAAGATGTTAACTTTTTTTTTTTTATCTCAGCAGCTAAATGTTTAAAGAGTTAAAACAAAATGCTTTTTGCTCACTGTGCCTCTGAGGATGTCAGGGAGAAATATTAATAAACATCTCAAACACAAAACTACATGTTCCATTAAAAGTACATTGGATGAGTAACTACAACCAGTAGCTGTCAAACTGTGATTAAGTAGCTATCTCCGAGTCTCCAAATGCGAATATTCACTCACGTCACACGGATCAGATTTTGACATTTCTTAAAGCGCTCTGAGCATTTTAGAACAAAATGAGAAGGATTGACATTCTGTGCCCACACACCTACACCATTACTCACCCAAGCTTTTCATTCACTTTCTTCTATTTAAAGTCTCATCCAACCTTCTGTTCTGAATAGTTTGCTTGGTGTTTGTTCTGCTATGTGTTGTTATTTTCGGTATGTCAAGTGAATCACAGTCTGTCATGGGCCAGAGAATGATAACTTAATTAAACGTTGGTGCTAATACCAAAATTAGTTATGTAAGCGGTGTGAGAAATTTGTTTATTTCTTCACTCAAAGCACTAACAATAGCCATATTGCCTCTGGGAGTTCCCATTAAAATTAAAAAAAAAGACGGAAAACAAATGAAGATTCCTCTTAATTCATCTCTTATCACCTTATATACATATACTGTATGTGTCCCTGTATGAGTGTACCATGAAAAATGTCTTGATAAAATAATGAAAAGGCTTTGTAGATGAATTTTATGTGTGGGAATTTTCCTTTGTTTTCAATTAGCAAACACAGAATCTCTTTTCAAACCTCAAGTTATCTCAAGTCGGTTTCTCATCATGCCTTCCAGTAAAATCCACCAACATGTAACTTAGCTTATACAATTAAATAACATTGCTTGTTTTATACTTTACATTATTTTGTGCTGTGGGAGGTCTATATAGCAAAGTGACCTAAACACTTTGGTAAGCCTCAGCAGCGGGAACACTCACACAAAGATTTGTCATCGGCTTCTCTTTGCTTGTATTGATTACACGGTCACACATCTGAAGTACAAAACATAAAATAGCCTTGCCCACAATGCATCATTGATTTGCTCCACCTGAGCACTTCGCTCACAGGGATGCAGGATTTACATTAGAAGTACAGCTGGGTAGAAAGTATTACTATTCCTTCTGCAGGATCCCTGTGTGGAAATCACACACACACACACACACACACACACACACACACACACACACACAC